AAGTTGGAATGGAGAAGATGGATTATATTCAAAATAAATATGGGACTAAGAAACTCCAGATAGCTTATGAATGAATGAACAAGGAATGTTACAACTTATCTAAAGCTTGAGAAACATCAGGAGTAATTCTATGCACACTACAATAATATAAACAGGATATCTACATCAACACCGCTTGATCATCCCAACATGTACAAGGAGTGCACTGTTTAAAAACACACCTGATGTGGCACCAGTTCATCGTACCCTCTGGTGCTTCCTGTAGCACAGCAGGCCATGGAAACAATTGTTGAGCTGGGAAGGGCATCGTAAGCAGATCGATGCTAGCAATAAGAAATAGGGATACAAAGTGAAAGCAGTTCTGAATTCCAGCAAATCCTTCTTTCTGCTCTATGCCCTGTGCTCCATCCCGGGACATTTCCTTAAGATCTTCACAACACTTGGGAGTAGAAGGAATCCCATAACAATAACATCAACAAACGCTGATCATGAATAACAGGATTTAATCCAATGCATTTAAGAATGTGGGTTGAGAATGGCTGCCATGTATAATATATATATATATATAAAGTGAGGTGAGGTAATTTATGTTCATAACTACATGTCATCCAGCACAGCATGGAAAATAACCCAACTTGATATCCTAAAGTTCCCTCAATCCTTTGCCTTAGGTAGCATGCTTGCTAGGGGATGGGAGCTGATGTCCAGATTATTTACGTGTAATTTTACTAGTGCTGATTTATAAATTTGGCTCACAGGGGAAGTACCCAGTGGAATGCAGGAGTAAGGTAATAGTCTCTGACTTTCATATATCTCATTCAGATGAGATTTAAGACGCACTATTTTCTGCTTCAGTTCACATGATATATCCTATTTATATGCAAAATAAGATAAAACTCTTTAAGCCCTGGTTCACAGAAAATTGTGTTTGTTGGAAATCTAGAATCAACAAGGCAATCTATTCCGGGCTCCAAATCAATTAAGAAATACACAGCTAGACCATTTTCACCTGTCCAGATTCTGTTCAAGGGGAAAAAAATAATCAGCAAAACAGATGTCTGCATTGTTTATTTGCTATAAGCAGGAATTCCTTCCTATGGAAAAAGCTCACAGGCTATTAAAAAAAGAGAATTAGGAATCAGAAAGAAAGCTAAAGCAAAACTTCTTACCTAGATTTCTAGGTAAGAAATAAACTTTCATTCGTTGGCCCTGTACTTAGAGCAAACTATTTGGATATGTGGTAACTCCAGTAACACACAGCTTATTAAAACAGAAAGAGGCAAGAACCCCAGGAAAAAAAGCGCAATACACTACTAGAGAGAGGGATGCCATGGATAAGTGCTGGAAATGTGTGCAGGCTGTTGGGTACATGATACAAAACATGAGTGTCTGGGCACTCAGGGTAGACATGCATTACAGAGTGTGGACAAATACTACGGACGTGAGATATCTGGAATCTCATACTCCAGAGGGGAGAAAAAGTGGTGCAAATGAAAGCCCACATCGAATCTGTTTATGGGACGCTGGCAGGGAAGATGACAGATAGAGAACATATGATTGCATCTAAGCCTTCCATCACACTGCCCAATATTTAACCTTTAAGTGTGAGCTGGTTGTCAAGAACCCAAATTGTAACTACATCTGCATCCTCTAAAGGCCAGAACTTTGTTGACTGGTCATGGGTACCACTCGTTTAATGCTATTCTAACTTTGAAAGATTGTTGAACGAGTCTTGATAACCTCAGGACTCTTTGTGTGTATTTGTGTGGTTTTTGAGTTTAATTTGCATTCACATTAAATCATAATTTTTAGTATAAAATTAAAAGACAATTCATATTAAAATGGGATTATGTATTTATTACGGAGTCAAAACATGGATTATACTACTCGATGCATATCATTTATGAGATCTTTAAAGTTACACCTTGAACAACTACAAATAAAGAGAAGAAAGGGGGGTAGGAAGGAGGGAGGGAAGGAGGGAGGGAAGG